GACAGTGTGGGTATATATAGGGGAGTTGTTCAGCACTGAGATCAGATCGGAGATCTCGTTGAATTGTGTTGGAGTTTGAGTATCTAGTTATTGGAGGTTTGGAGTTTTACCACGTTGTTGTACTTGATGTTTGCAGAGTATAATAATACCAGTACCAGTTGAAACCTCATCTGTTGGCTCTGTGTTCGTATTTTATCATCGCCACCAGGGAAGTCTTTATGTTACTGTTGCTATTTTGGTATTTGAACCATCACACCTGTACTATACCAATTACGGTAATATTACGTTGCGTGTGACACCGTCCATCCATGGTTTGCGAATCTTTGTTAATGATTTCTATGAATATGGCTCGATATAGTTTACCATCCTAAAATATCTGAATGCATGTCCTTTAATCCTCGCATAAGTGCTCGTAGAAGCAGTGTAATTTATTGATGACTCTAAGCATAACATTTTGAATGAGCACGTTTATCTAGGATATGTCGTTACTGGTAGAATTGTTTGGATGATGAGAACAGAAAACGACAGGTTCGACCATTTTACGGTAGAGCCAATATTGCTTGAAAATTTACTAGCTGCAGTAGTAATGTTAAAATTACATTGTTCCGAACCTTTTGCTCTTACATGTATTGTTTACAGCTTTGGTTTCAACATCGTAAAAGTATTTATGATTTTCGTGTTGCGTTCAATAATGCAGTTCGTTTATACCTGGGCCGACCCCGGGATTTTAGTGCTAATAAAATCGTTGTAGTGCTTTTATCATCTGACACGCATTTACGTTCGAAGTATTATGTTCTGTATGCATACAACTTGAATATTTACGATGATTTTGTGCTCAAAAAAAAATGTTCAGCTGTATAAGTGTTGTTAACATCTATCATTAACATATTAATTATTACACAAAACACTATTTTTACATTTATCGATATATTCGAAAAAAATGCTCTTTTGAATTCAGATGTCAAAAATACCAATGTTACGAATCATCATATAAGCAGGCTGCAAACAGAGACTTCTGATTTAGTCTGAAAATAAAAGAAAACAAAATTACATGTAAAATGTAAAACGACGAATATTAACTTATAGTAACAAAAAGAATTAATCTGTTTCAGAATCTGTCATTTTGTTGTTATCATATATTCGTCTAAGCGTCGGTGTTTACTGTTTACTGATTCTTCAAACTTAATGTTTCGATGTAGTTGTTTTAGATCACTGTCCTAACGTTGTTAGCGATATGCAAACCGGATATCAGTTTACGACACAAGTAATAATGAAATCGTGAAGGAAGAGTTACCGCATATGAAGTTTGAGATTCCAACATCACAATACACCCATTCGACTTTGGGATCAGTTGTGAAACACCAGGCATGAGAATCTCCATCCGGGTTTCGACAGTAGTTGTGGTTGTCTAGATCGTAGAGGGGAAAGTTTTGTGTATTATAGCCAAGATTATCTGGTAGCTCTTCTGTCCAGTTCATACATTGATAATCACCAGTTGCGTTGACTGTTCCGCGATAATCGCTCGCATCTTCGTTGACGTAGCATTCGGTATATCCTAAAATATTCATTGTGTATACGAATCAAATTTGTGATTAGCATAAGTTTTTAAATGGTATTAATACAGTATAAATGATAAGTTTTTAACTGGGAGCAAACCAACTGGTTTTGCCGTTACAATCTTGGCTCAGCATTGAGAAATGGTTACTAGTATGCTGTAAAACGCACATTATGTTCGATGCGATTCTCAAATTCAAACTAGTACAACTCCGAGAGATTTGGTCCATTCAGTTTGAAGTGTGCACACTCTATTAGAAGGCGTGTTTTGTCCACAATGTCGCCAGCATTGAAACCTTGAACAATGGTGAATATGTGACGATACATCATAGCTACACTTTCGTTATATACGAGCAAAACTCCGGACGCTCTCTGGCGATGAACGTTTCACAAGAGAAACAAATGTGGCAGTTATTTAAGATGAAAATGTGGGTTTGTGTGCACCAAATTATAGTTTTGCTTTATTTTATTTAAAATGCTAACGACTTTCGTTTCGGTTCCTTAAGTGGGGGTTAGGTGGGTTAAACTTAAGTTGCTCCGGGAGTTTTTAATGAACATCCTATATATATTTTTTGTGATGGATTTATCTGGAAAAGAGCATCCATGTTATATATGTTTTAGGTTTTGAGGAATGATACAAAAACTGATCAATACATGTGTAATGATATTGGAGGACAAATCTAGTTATCACCAATAGATAAACAATATGCTAACATAGTTTGAATGTTTAAAAACAACAACAACAACAACATAACACATTTTACTGGCAAAACTATAGCCCAGAACCGGCGTCTATATTAAGAGTTTTAAGCTTCCTGACCACCCAGTGTACATTTTGCCGATGTTTATAATAACCACAATTCTCACATAAATTAACCGATGTTGTATATATATACCATAATAACATAACATAATAACATATGACATACCACATGAATCTGAATAACTATCAACATCACAGTACTCCCACTGTATACTGGGATTAGTAGAAAAACACCATGGTTGCTGTTTGTCGTCGGGGTTTCGGCAAAAATTGTGATCACCAAGACCAGCATTCGGATAATTTTCAGGATCATAGTTGAGTGAAACCGAGGTGACATCTGTCCAATCCTGGCAGTCGTAGCCTGTCTGTGTGACGCTGACAACACCGCGGTAATCATTGGCATTTTCGTGCTCATAGCACTCAGTTAGTCCTTTAAATGATGACATAAATATGGTAGGTGATTTTGCACAAAATATACACGTAGATATAATTACGATAGCTATATATCAAGACATTGGATATATAATTAATTATTATAAGTTGTGTTCTAGTACGGGTTAATCTCATATGTATTCTTATCGGCTAGACCCAGTTACGTTCACACTTGGGATGTTGGAACAGTTAGTGCGGACCAAGAGACGGCAAAACCTGTTCATTATACGGCCAAAAATAAACAAATCTGCGGTCTTTCCAACATACTTTTTTAGCCAATACTAGGCGTTTGCGCACGTTATTTTAGTATGACTCGTGCTACGGAACGCAACAAATATATAATCTAACGCAGTAAGTGGCTTGTTATTTCGATATTATTTACTCGTGAGTGCAAAAGTAAAGACACACAACTAAATAACTAATAATTTAAGTATTTTGACCAACCACAGTTTTCAGTCGGACGACCGACATCACAATGCTGCCATCTGATGTCTGGGTTAGTAGTGAAACACCAAGGGGCGCCATCGTAGTCTGGGTTCCGACAGTAGTTATGACGTCCAAGTCCACCATTAGGGTAGTTGACCTGACTGAATTCATGCGTATGGGGCGTCTGTTCCGACCACTTCTGGCATAGGATGCCACCGACTGTGGTATCAACAGTTCCCCTGTAGTCTAAACCATCCGGCTTAACGTAACACTCACGAAAATCTATACATAATAATAATTAGTTAATTCAGTATGATAAAACATATTTCCGTTAAGGTTAAATTTATCGCTATTTTATGCGTGAATACTCCACAATTGTGAGGTTTTGGCCGAGTTTTATGAAGTGTTTTAAAACATGAAAATGTTATATCGAATAATCTGAATGGGCTAAGTAAAACGACATTTGCTAAAGAAGAAAGAGGACTACTATATATGTAGGACATTCCCTCGCTCCCAGACACACAATAATTGATCGCAGCATTTCGCGCTTTTCCACCCGTTATCTCGGCGTTTCCGAATTCGCATTCACTGTTGCGTTTTTTCTCCGATTACTAAACTAGTACGTACCACACTTATCACTCGGAAGTCCTACGTCACAATAATCCCACGATATTACAGAATCCGTCGTAATACACCAGGGTCTGATGTCTCTATCCGGGTTTCGACAGTAGTTATGAGCGCCAAGACCAGTATTAGGGAAATTCTCGGGCGTGAATTGGTGAGAATAAGGTCTCTGATCCGACCAACTCTGACAGGATTTCCCTCTAGATGTTGCATTCTGAGCCCCTCTATAGTCTCCACCATCTGACTGGGTAAAACACTCGGATGGAGCTGTCAGAATAAACTAGATTAATTATCAGCTTCAAATTTATCCAAATCTAGATTTAGGAGTATTCTGTGAACTTTTAGCAGATTTCAGTTTCTAATTATTATATATGTCAGAGATTAGAATAGAATTCAGGCTCTCAGATGCTGTAGTTCCAAGTGTTGAGAATTGATATAAATCAGTGATGCCGTACTAGAATATGCTTGCACACCGACGAAAATATCAACGCTACATGTCAAGCGAACCAGGCCATTAATCTTGTCGCTGTGCAACTGTGACTGAACAAAAATCGAGTTTATTACTGGCTATACACACTTACTCGGAGAGTTGCATGGCACGATGAAGTGAAAAATATCATTTGCATAAATAAATATTCATGAGCAATGCAAATACAAAAAAAAAATGCGCCAAAATGCTTCTCAATAGCCAATATGTGAGTTCTAATTCAACTGATTCTATCGTTACGTGCTAGAAAGATAATAAAAAAGTCTGGTGTTTTTGAGACAAGTTTTTAATCAACTTAACTCTAACAAACTGATGAAAGTAACGTGATTATAGCAAATTACGAAATAGAGAATGCAGAGGCACGTTGATATTTTACTCTATTACTATTGCTCAAAATGTTTGTAATCTTTTCAATAACTTTCAACAATGACAAGTTAACTAATTAGTATGCAATATGCATTTCGATAAAAAAAATACTGTATGTGCATGCGAAAATCACGCGTATACAAGTTACTCAAGTGCAATAAACTAGTAGCGCATGCGCAAAACTTGCTGTCTTTGTAATGTTTCGTTGAGGATAATCCTGTAAAGAAATCGCTAAATGATTTCATCTATTCATAAAAGGGAAGTTGTTAGTACGACAGCGGCCTGCGGATGACAACTAAAGAAAAAAACGTTGCATCTATATCGGACGGCGCCCTGTCGTGCCAATCCCACTGCACTTACTATTCAATATGAAGGAACACGATAACGTTCACAAATAGGCTACACCATGCTTTGTTATATTAAGCCCAAACAAATTGTCTGTGATCAATTATTACATATCAAATTATGTCAGGGGTCATAAATGAGAATGTCACGAGAACATGTACAACATCATATAGTCTATTTTGAAGAATTCATTCATCAAATATCAAATTATTAAAATGTGAGAGAAATAACTAGAAACCGTAACCGGAAATAAATTACAAATTAAACATATCTCCCTCAACAATAGTTTGCCTTATTTGAATATGTTCTGAACATGAGTAACTTAATAACTATCATATTACACTTGCCAAAAAATACATAAATTCAAATTCAGACTTGAAAACTTAAATGAATATATATATTCACTATGAGTAGAGATAATTTATTGGTGTTATTAATATAAGTAAATGAGTTGCGCCATTTAGCGTCCAAGTGGTACGAATTTTGACTTATTCTATCAACCAAACAAACGGGGCTTTTTACACTAATTTACGTCACAGGGGCGCTGTGTCGCTAGAGGGCATCACGTATATGAAAGGAATATTGAAGTTACCTTCACATCGGCCAACAAGACCATCATGGCAAACACAGGTGCATTCTGGGCCTATATAGCCGTCTCCAGAACATTCTGGAAGCCAGTCAGCACATTGTGCTGCAAGGAACGATAACCATGGTGATTAGAGTATAGGGATATTTGAAAACAGCTATATAACGACAATTGTTATTTATTTCTAATCTATAATAATCTAATCTATAATAATCTAATCTATAATATTAGAAATGAACGCACACAGAATATACTAACCATTGCATTCATATAGCATATTTGCTAATTTCACGTCATAAAAAGAGAGATAATTTCTTTGTCCCATTTTCGGCATATCCAGTGGATTGACAGGCGTTATTGTAGGGTGGCCATTTTTACTGAAATACTAAAATAAATAAATTAAGATTGACTAGACGAAAACAAATATTTTACATCAAAAAAAATGTTTTTTTCTTCACCATTTCGCAACTGCACGGCGCCCTCTGTTGACAAAGTGGTTAAACCTGCAACATGCGTAATGTAAACTGTTTCACCAAATAAGGTCTCACCACCCCATTACTCTAAAAAAATGCTTGACCAGAAACATTTTTTTCCGTCGCATATGATGCATTTTCTCATTTTTAATAATATCAGCTGCCATTGCCTGTATATCATATTATATAAACCTATTTTTGGTAACTTGATGTGGTCAAATGTTATTCATATGAGCATTCGGAAAGATGGAAAACCAGAACAGTTCAATTCACTTTCATTTAATAAATACTTGAACCAAATGCCGTAACAGCGGATGCTCTTTTACCGTATTCTGAATCTTGATTGAATTGTCTATCTTTCTTAGTAAACGTTTATGCAAATAGTAAATTTCTCTTGTCTTGATTCAACTAATACGAAAGATATTTATATTAATCAAAAACATCACATAGGCACGAGTCGCGAATAGCCGCCAAGATATCGTTGGGGTCGAGAGGGCCGTGTGACGTAATTTTGCATCTCAAATAGCATTACTGTCTTGCCCGTTATCGCGTCCGCTGTTTTGAATACCATGCTTACATAGACTATAAGGACACACTGAAGGCGATGACAGAAGAGGAGCATAAACACATATCGCTGCTCTCTCGTTTTCCGCGAGATTTCGACACCCATTTACGTCTAGGGTATGCATGAAGGAGTAAATGAATTACTTACATGCGACCCATAGTGCATCAGTGATGATATGTCATATTTCACAGAGTATGTATTTACAACATCAACTCCGTACTTCTCGAAATTACTTTCCATTCCATCTTCGATATTTTGAAAATGAATTGTAACGTGATCGTCTCGGTCAGGTCGACTTTGTTCGTGCCAAAATCCAAGTGCGTGACCAATCTCGTGGGCTACAGTTCCTCTCTAGTGTCGGAAGAAATACGAAAACGTGTTTGACCAGTTTGACAGTAAGTCCTGGGTTGTGGGTTACAGAGTTAGAACGCACGTGACGTATAACTTTTTCACAATACATACATACCTCAGCGCATCCGTCTCCAATTGAAATCTCTTGCGAATTGTGGAAGTCAATTATCCCAACATATGAATAACATCTTTGAAAATAAAAAAAATAAAATGCAATTTATTAAGGTAGAAGCCTATTCATAATTTTTGAGAAAGTTGGTCATCAATCGCATGACAGTGTTTATTGGTTTATTATGTAAAATCATGAAGCTATTATCCCATGGCTACGTGAAATTGCATTTTGTTGTGTGTTACAGTGACATATTTTGCGAAACTTGTCCTAATATTTGTCAAAAATATATATTTTTAGAACATTTCCATATAACACAATGATAAAAAAAAAATTGCATTTTTTTTGACATTTTTAAATACCCAGATTTTTGAAATAATTTAGAACAACAATAAGTACAGCATCATTTACAATATATGATTTTTTCAGCCTATGACACTAGACTACAATTGAAATATGGCATAATGTCTCTGCCATAGTAACCTATTGAAAAAAGCGTTATAATACTGTCAAAATGACCACAACCATCATTTTCTCGTAAATTAAGCTGGTGACCCCCAACTTTTTTAGGTCAATATCCTTATAATGCCTGGAAGTACAATGTATTTGAAAATGAATAAATCCTGAGTATTTGCATTCATGAGTAGGCTTCTACCTTATAGAATGACCGAATTTGTAGAGTGAACTGAAAAGTTCGATTCGCCGTACAAAAGATGTAAAATATGTTTCTTTTCGGGACTTTGGAGAGTCAGAGCAGAGTAACGTTATGTATCACCAATGTCACACTTATATACTTCCATTGCAAAGTTTAAAGCGTCAGAACTGTGACATTGAACAGTTTTTTTCCGTTTAAATATAACTGCAAAAAATAACCAAATCTTACCCAAATACTGTTTTAGACACAGTTGCATGGACAAAAACACAAAGCTAATGTCACATGAAATGCGATGTGAAAACTGAAGGTAGAGTAGTTGCCATTTTCATTGAGAGCGGCTTGGGAGATGTAGATAATTATGACACACGACACACACTATTATTGAAATTGACACATACAATCACCGGTGGAAGGCTGATAGAAGAAATCTTAGCCTCTCAGCCTTTGACATCATTCTCATGGTCCCCAGTAAGTTGAAATCCTGTACCATAAACTGTGGTTGGCTTTACAAAACTGTTTTTTATAGATTGCTCTCCCAGGAGATCTTGACGCAAAGCTGCGGCAATTTTTGTT